AAATTAAGATGGGTCAAAACTTGACTTGTCGTGACTTTAAAATATTCCACCGAAACCAGAGCTAAAGCAGGTGAAGGAACTTCGTGGGGGGAGCACGACACACCGTACCAGACCCGGACTTAAGCAGAAGAGACGCCTTCGACAGAGAGAAATGAGATGAACGGGCAATGTGGTGGCATGAGAGAAGAAGGATATAACGTCTGTTTAAAGCCTGAGACGGTGTGGACAGAACATGTAGTTATGTGCACTATTCGTCGGCAGTGCTGAAACTCAGAATGTCTGTGACGACTACTGCCGTTTGATGGCTTTGAACACACAAAAAGGGTAACTAACGATGGCATTTCATGAGACAGATGAATATATCGGTTATGCCCCCACTCTGTGCATTTTTCAGCAGATTTGGAAATGAATTTTACACGAAAAAAACCAAAGTGCAGTTCAGTATTTCTTACATAACCACAAAATTGACCTCGTGCGAACTTAACGGAACGCGATAGTCTCCTGAAATCGAGCAGATCCATTTTCGTGATCGCGGAGTGAGATGGAATTCTAGGTCGCGTGGTCCTCTTTTTAAGCTCTTTTTTTTTNTTTTTTTTTGAGCGAGATCAATTGACAGTTTCCGTTATATAATAGAACTTCATCGCCTGCGCACGCTCAGTAGGTCGCATACTCAGTGACATTTCTTGCCTACGTACCGGCTACGCATTAAACTATGTTGAATTATTTGCTAGTCTTTTTGCGATAATCGTTCAAATTCCTGAAAATCACACACTGATAAGCTCAATGTCGTCAGCCATAGAACCTAAAGAACTCGAAGTTATATCCACTTCTCGATTTCACCCTTTTTGTTTAGATAGAATCAATCGGTGGTACGAGCAATTTCGACGTTTGAAGAAGAGTGGTGGAAAGAGAAAGCGAAAAACTGAATCATCACAAATAACTGCGGGACCGCTTCCTGTTGACCCTCGAATGGAAACGGTCACCGTAACCGACAGGTATCCCATACTTGAATGCTTTATCCGTTGTTATGAGCTGTGGAAGCTTCCACGGCTGCCTTTCCGCTAAGCACTGGTTGTCCTTCGGTTTCTATGGGGTCTTTTGTCTGGGTTCATGATGTTTTCAGGAAACATTCTTATAGTTACATGGAATATTTCGATTTTCTGTTGGTAATTGTCCTTTCCCTAACTTATCAATATCGAGGATGCGTGAATTCAGGCAACCTGTGACAAAGACGTTGAGACAGACTTTCACGGTTTTTACTAACCGGCTCGCTACTGTAGAGCTTCGTGGGTTTCACCCTCACCACCGCCCGATACACCTTTCTTTGAAGGAACCTAGAACACCGTAGTGGTTGCACAGGATTGCAGTCGACTTTCCACTTCATCCATGCCGCGTTTATTCGGGCTTTGACAGCCTGGTCCACGCTTTAATCATCGACTAGGTAACTCTGCAGGTCGGATTCGGGAGTTTCTGTACTCTTTGATAGCTTCCCGAAGACCCCCCATATCGATATCATGCATTTCTCGATCTGAGGTATTTTTCTTCACATTCAGTTGAAGCCCGTTCTTCACCTGCACTTTCTGCCATATCTGCGACTAGTCCCGGAGCTCTTTTGTTCCCTCCGCTATCAGAGCAATGTCCTCAGCAGAGATGTTCTTCAGCAGTCCATCCATGAATTCTTTTGTGATGGCATCCATGGTGAACAGGGAGGGAACGGGCGTAAAAGTATTTATTTATTTATTTATNAGAGATGTTCTTCAGCAGTCCATCCATGAATTCTTTTGTGATGGCATCCATGGTGAACAGGGAGGGAACGGGCGTAAAAGTAGTCCTCATTTTACCCCAATCATGACATCTGTTGCTTTTCTCAACCTATGAGCTGTGCATATGAGCATGTTGGACCCAAAATTAATTTTTGTGCCCATACAGATCAGGGGGTGCGAAACGTTCTCTCCTCAAATGCTCTCCTGAGAACCGAACGCGTAAAGCGGACAGGAACCTTTTCTAGTCCCACGAAGGTAAGGTAAGATAATGCGCTTCTCCCAATATTTCTCATCAACTCGTCAGGATATGATGGTGCAATCCGTTGTAGGCCATTCTGGCATGAAGCTGAACTGCTCCCATAAAACCGAGGCACGTTCCCTAGTCCCCCGTCCCCCTTCTGTTCGAGGTTGGAAACGATTGTACTCCTTCTCCAGCCAAATGGGATTCTTCCTTCGGTGGTTGCGGTATTTAGGCATCGAGAGAGCCACCTAATCCCGTGCTCTACGAGTGCTCTCCATGCCCCGATTGAAATCCCTTCCCTACCGGGAACCTTCTCAACCTTCATTTTCACTATTGTTCGACGGACTTTGTTTTCCAATCAGAGTGTGATAGGATTGACCAGCCGTTGACTCCAGTTGGAAGCTGTTTTCACCGTGGAGTTTCTCGTTCGGAGCCTGCCGAAATATTCCTTTCTTCTGCTTCTAACCGCATCAGGCTTACTCAGAGTTGAATAGCCGCTCTTCTTCACAATCTTTACTAACCCCATGTCTTGAGAGCGGTAATGAGCTAATAACCCCAAGCTTCTAACCTTTTCGACCATAGGGCTTCCAGTTCTTGTCTATTCTCTGCCTTCACTGCGGCAGCCTTGACGACCATGTTTCCTTGTCCCTTCGGAATCCATCTCAAGTCATTCGGAAATATTTTGAGTATTTTGCTGGTGCTGTGCTGGTCTTCAAAGTTCACTTAACCAATATGATTGGTATTGCTCTTTTTGTAGAAAAGTCCGAATCCGCATGTTTCCGTAGCTAGATTTTAGACTGATGGTGAGATAGATATTACAAGATTTGCTGTGTCGAAATTGTATACATCCTTACCCGTCTTCACCGTGCCGATGAATTCGAGGAAAATGAAAACTAGGACTTTTGAAGGGT